GTTGTCACTGCTGCTCCTCAATCGGCGACCACGACGAAGGACAATCAAAAGCTCGCCGCGACGGCTCCGGAACAACATACGGATGAGATGGAGATTGATTCCGGAAGCCGTGCTCCCCGGCAAGTTTCCAGTCCCGAGGTTGAGCGGAAATGCTGTCGTTGCACTACCTCGTTCAGTCCTCGGTGGTGGCCGATCGACGGTTCGCGGCGAGCTGCTGTCCTTAACAGCAGAGGCTCAAGCATGAATGGAGTTGGAATGAGTTCTGCCAGCCCGCCATTCCTTTCCCAGAATCTATCCCAACATGCTCTGCCCAAGCTGAACGGCGATTACAGCTCGGTCGCGGAGGGGCCACTCTACGAATGTCACAAATGCTATCTGAAAAATGCTACAGCTCAGCCATCTCCGGAGCCTCGACCGTCTCCCTACTTAGCGCAGCGGCCAGTGCTGCCCGCCCCGCGAATCCCCGAATATCATGGGCATCCTTATGGACCACACGCGCATCCGACTCCCCCTCCGACCAATGCTCTCCCAAGGCCGCTTAGTGGCCCTCTTGCTCATGGCTCTGAATGGTACCCGGCCCATGAACAGCGGTCGACCGAGCTTGCCGATGGTAAGCTGCGCAACGGCTTACCAGTTCCGGCATACCACGGAGGACCACCCCCCGTCCAGCCTCATCCGCTTAATGGCTTTCAACATCCGACGCCGCCTACTCATCACGCTCCTCCTCCACCACCACCTCATTATCCTGGCGGTGCGCCTCCACCTCCGCACCAGCCGTACACGGTTCATCAGAGCCCGTATGCGCCAGTATCCATGCCATCACCTCATCCGTCGCATGCACCGGGCCCTCGACCGTACGCATCCTCAGCGTCACCTCCAACGGCACAAGCGACCATCGTCCGCCACTCTCCTCAACACTCTCTCAGCGCTTTGAACGGAGGCCCGCCTCCGCGAATGTATTCTGTGGATCGCATCCTCAGTGCCCCGACACAATCACCCCCAATGTCGCAGGCGCGTATGGATCCCCGGGGGCTGTCGCCTCCTGGCAAGATGGAAGACACGTCTCTCAGTGCAGCCGGAGGAGCGATGAGCACTGGCAGGAGTTCGGGTGTCAATGGAACGCACGGAGGATCTGGGGCAAGCGCCAGTCCATCGTTGAAAAATCTACTTTCTTAGCGTGGGGTATCACTGTACGGTGATTGGGAATGTATGATAGTAATTATTAATTTTCGTTTTGCTTTCTGGCATTCAAACTGGGGTTGGGATCTCTTGTCATTATGAGCGCCATTTCAATCTGTCCATTATTCTTCTGCTACTTTTTTCTTCCCCTTTTGAATGTTCGTGCTTCTGGGGGCCGTTATCTACAGGGAAGAGGATTAGAGATTCAGATCATCGTCATTTTGAGGTGCACGGGTTGGGGTCTTGTCAGCGTTCGATTGTTGCAGCTTTCAGGCTGTGTATATTGCATTTTAAAGAGACGAACAAGCTTTATTTGATTAACTCAAAATCAGACTGTGTTCTCTTGTTAGTAAACAGAACGATTTCCTGGACTCTTGACTCTGGCCGATCAGCGAGGTCAACACGGGATACTGTCGCATGTCTGAGAGATCAGCCAGGCAAGGTGTCTATCCCTTGGAGTTTTAGCTTTCCCTCCCACTTTCCGATCATAAAAGCCTCCCGTCCAGCAAGAGTCTAATAGATATTGGGTAAGCAGTCGGCCAACATCGGGCTTGATTTCAAGCCTCAGCTCTATTCGCTACTCCTTTCTAGGTGCTTGTCTTTCATAATGCTCCGTAGGCTGTAGATAGTAGGAAGCGTGCTTGATACGATAGTAGTAGATATGTTTACGTGATGACTCGTAGTAGGCAGACGCTAGGGGGAATTCTGGAATCTGGACCGTCTCCAGAGCGGGGCCACAATGTACTCGAGTAATCTGTAGGTACCTTAGTAGGTACGGACTAAAATATCTACGGAGTATCTGTATCTAAGTCTAGTACGGAGTAGTTTATAAAGAGGTGAATAGAATCAAAAGATGGATAGGATCGATATCAATAGATCGATCTGAATCGGCAGTGATATCTGGGGAGTCGCCACATAACATCATCATCGTCCTGTACTTACTTGATCGGGAGGGTCAGTTGAGTTTGCTAACTGCAGTAAGTTCCAGGTAGTTAACTTTGATGGAGGACCTAAGGCACCAAAGATATCTTAGGTTCTGTGGCATCGCATCGCATCACATCACGTCAATGGCTCGCTTGCCACTTGATCATGGAATTATCACATCTGGCCATGGGTGGTGGTTGTGCGCTTGCGCCCCCTGAGGATTAATTAATTTTTGATTAACTTGGTAGCACCCTTAGGTCATAGGTGAATTAAAAGAAAATTTAGTCTGCATGTACGGAGAACGGAGTACTCTGGACTCTGTATTACTACGTCTATAGGCTCTCAGGCAGCAAACATCACTCAGGTTAAGTGATACCTAATCCCTGCCTAATACACTAAGAGATTGAGAGGGAGGTACTTGAAGTGCACTTATGGTTGGGTAGGTAGGCTCTAATGATGGAAGTAGGAGAGAACCTCGGTAAGTGTCAGGTGTTTTTTGGATAAACGAAATTACGAACCATAAACAGGCGTAAATACCCAGAAATGAGACAAGCTGATTTGCTCAGCCAGCATTCTAGAAAACGCGCGGAGTGCAGTGGTCGATGAGATTGGATGGTTTGATCAATGATCAGGCGTTGAGGCCTCCCCACTTTCTCCACTTACTTTATCTTGAATTTTTCTTTTCTTGTCATAAGTGTCAACCGTCCGAAATCTGGATGGTAAGGTATTGGGTAAGTGTTAGTACTGATGGAGAGATGGATGAGAACGAGGTGAAAACGCGACAGACTGCATTTGAGCTGGAGCTTGATTCGGTGCCTAAGGTAACGAACTCCCCTAAATACGCTGTACTACCGACTCGGAATGTTTCTAGATGGATTGCTTGCATCGTTCTCCTTGCCTTTGCTTTTTCTCTGCAGGTGATTTGTCTGATGTTGATCCGAAGTTGAGCTGAGCACGTTCGTGATATCCAAGCATACTAAGCCAGAGACTTTCAAGCACTCTATTTCATCATCTATCTATTTGGTACGAATGTGCAATGTTCGCAGGTAAATAGGTATGCCTGGCTTATTATCTGTAAGGTAGTTACCTTTGTAACTCCTTAGTAAGATGATCTTCGTAATACCTTACGGTAAGTTTGTATTACCGACTCGGTAAGGATCGGCCCCATCGCCGAGTCTCTGACGACGCCCGCACCCGCTGTGCCGCGACCTTCTGGAAGACTGGAAGAAAAACCCAAGAAGAATCCTCATCTGCAGAAATAGAACTACGACCGTCTATCTTCAATACTACCCTAATAATAGTTGGATGTAGTATCTAGATACTAATAATAATACCGTAGATACATAGTATCGTCTAGTCGATCTTAATTCTAATTTGAACCTCTAATTGTCTTTACCTCAGTAGTCAGTACGGTAGACAGACCCTCATAGGCTCCGTGGTCTGGTCTGGTTGCTCTACCTCATTCCTCTCCTCTCGTCTCCTCCTCCACTTGGACCCTCCCTTGAGATCGACTTCCTTCTTTTTGCCCTGTCTGTCCCATTCTCTTCTCCTCCTGCTCCATCAGCCTCAGTGTATATTCTAGGCGCTGTCAATCTCCATCATCGTCATTCCATACCTTTGCTTTTTCTAATATTTTTTTTTTTTTTCCCTCTACCTTTTTTTTTTCCCTAATCTTTTCCACCTCTCATTCCCTACGCTTTACCATCGACTACTACGGAGTAGACATACACCACCGCGTTTCCTTTTCCTCCTTTCCACCACTTAACCTCATTCCACACTAGTGGTTATCCTCCTCCCTTGTCCCGTTACATCAACGTCAATCCTCACCCAGGAAATTCGACTCGTGCGACAATTCCGTCTTTATCCTCCCCGATAAACAAGACCTGGTTGTTCCAGTTGCCTTCTTCGATTGCCTCTGTCTATCTGCGTGCCGTCTCTATTCCGCCTGGCCCTCTCGGAGGCCCATCATGGCATCCTGAGAATCCTCCCCCCTCCGATCCAGGAACCTCGAATTTCGCGTCCGTCTCGGCTAGACGATTCTTGAATACGTTGCGATTCCGACTCTCCGCTTTCTGGTGGATTATCGACCGAACGTGTATCTGTCTAAGACGGCCTTTCGCGAAAATCACTGCGGCAATTGGTGCTCCCTCCCGACCGTTTCACCTCGCCGCCCCGACTGCTCTTCTCTTTGATCGATTGATCTTCGTTTGCGATCCGTCGCAGCATATCGCTTTATATACATCTCTCGCTCTCTTTCCTTTCAGGAGCTTTTATATTATTTACGATTCAAAAGTGAGTGGATTGTGATGTGCATGCGCGGATTTGGTCATTGCGGCCAGGACAGCATTTCTTTTGCATTGAGGATCAAGGGTGCGCTACTGCAGGGCTGGACTTGACTCTGGGTTGTCTCAGAACGAGACATCTACGCAAGGGACTGCTGTCTTTCCTCCCCCGCAGGACAACAATCGAAGCCCCAACCTGCCGTGGGAATCTGCAGCGAACAAACTCATTGTTCGGGATTGCGCCGCTGGCGTGGATCGTCATTCGTTTGTTCCCTCATCGTTCTCTGGTTGCAGGGCCCTTGCCTTTTGACTTCTTTCGATTGCATATACCGTCGCACTTGGATCATGACGGCCATGAGCGCTAATGCAATTTCCACAGAGTTTATAGAATCCTCACTCTCGTTACAAGATTGCGCCCCGCTCCCATACAGCTCTTCTGTCGACCGCTCGTTTTTTCCCTTCTACCGGACTCACGCCCGACGATCTTGGTGGTCCGCATACCATATGAAACCGAGGCCAGACTGGGCATCTCTTCTTTCCTTCTACCTTTCTTTCTTCCGCTTTTCCTTAGATCTGTGTGAGCCTGCTTCTTTCTGAGCCCAGAATCTCCTGGCGATGGGCGTACCCAACCCGGCCGATACTATGGATCGTGTCGAATGTTGCGCAGTATATATCGACGATCGCGTGCAAGAGGAACGATGGGTGGACCGGGATTCGTTTGACCCGACAGCTTCCCGCAGCGATACCATTCGTGACGATGAACCTGAATCGTTGCGGTCGGACGTGGCGCTTTTGTTGGAAGTGTGTAAACAAAGTATGCGCTGCCCTCTGCCTCCATTGCTTCTACGGATGCTGACTGAATCGCAGTATACCTCTGTCATGTCGGGACATCTCTCGCTGCCAAACTCGCTGAGCTCTCCGATAGTGCCAGCAGTAAATGCACGCCCATTTTCGCTTTTTTCGACATTGAACTTGGTCGCAGCGAGGACTCTGTCCGGGATCGTCGCAAAGCCAGTCGCGCTTCGTGGCCGGATGCGGGACCCCCGTCTCCGACATCTATCCGTCGCGGCTTCACCTTCTCCGCTCAATCCGACTCCTCCTACGGCTTGCAGTTGCTCTCAGGGGTATCTGCAGACATTCAAGTCTCCGAGATCCCAAACCTGATCATACCGATTGCAGTCTTGCGCCACTCGTCCACCGAACCAACCAGCGATCCTACATCACAACCGTCGGCCACTCCCCTTTCCGATCCGCAGCAGATTTCCAAATGCTTAGATGCAGGCGCTGTTGACGTTCTCTCAACACCACTTGACAGGTCAAGAGTGCAAGGCTTGATAGTCCATGCCTATCGGGTGCGCAAGTCGGCGCGCAGGGAACAATCTCGCTTCCTCGCCAGGAAGAAGTCGCGCAAACAATCATGGGTGGGCGTTCATGATGAGCAGCCGTATGCCTACCTGAGAGAGGCAATGTAAGTGCATTCAACATAATGTGGCAGCTGCAGTGCTAATTTATTTCTCCTAGGGTATCCAAACTCATGAAGGGTATTTGCAACCCCGAGGAAGTCATTGAAGAGTTCCAGGACAGGTGCGTTCGCTCTGCCTTCGAGTTTCTACCCACCAGCTAACGTGTAAAAGGGACCTGGACGTGAGTCCAGAGCGGCAGAAAGTTGTGAGAAAGCTCATCGGGAACTGGAACTTCACTGCTCATGAGTTCTCCGAAGACGAACTCGTGTTTGGGGCCTGCGAGATGCTTCAGCATGCTTTCACTCTACCCAACTTAGATCAGTGGCGATTAACACCATGTAAGTTATTCGTAGGTTTGATACTTTGAGAACTTGACTTACGCAACACCTTTCTTTCGCAGGTGAACTTCGAACTTTTCTGCTCGCTTGCCGCGCATCGTACAATTCATTTGTCCTCTACCATAATTTCCGACATGCCATTGATGTGCTGCAGTCAGTGTTTTGCTTCCTGGTGCATATTGGTGCATTGCCCCCATATGGCTCTGTCGGCACCAGTCCTGATTCGCCGTCCTCCATCGCATCTCTCTTGACACCGTTTGACACTTTGACCCTACTTATTTCCGCAATCGGTCACGACGTCGGTCATCCCGGAGTCAACAACTTCTTCTTGGTCAAGCTCAATGCTCCGTTGGCGCAGCTATACAATGATAATTCGGTCCTGGAGGCTTTCCACTGCGCTGCATTCTCACAGATCCTGCGACGCCACTGGCCTGCCGCTTTCAAGGATAGACAACTTCGGAAACTGCTCATCAGTTCGATCCTGGCGACCGACATGGGCGTACATCAGAAGTTTATGGAACGGCTGGGCTCTCTGCAGGAGAAGTTCTACGCGAATGGCAAGTCTGTCGATGGCTGGAAGCCGCAGGATATTGAAATCTACAAAACACTTGTGTGTGGCCTTTTGATCAAGTGTGCCGACATCAGCAATGTGGCACGGCCGTGGGATATCGCCGAAAAATGGACCAAGATTTTACAGGAAGAATTTGCCAATCAGGGAGAGATGGAGCGCGAGGTAGGCATGGAAACTGCGTTGTTTGGTGGTCCACCGGAGCTAGGAAACGTCTACAAGCTCGCCACCGGTCAGATCGGGTTCATGTCTATCTTCGCTCTCCCTCTCTTCGAGGGCGTTTCGGACCTTCTGCCTGAGCTGCGATTCACGGTCGAGCACATCCGGACCAACCAGACTCGCTGGCACTTTCTGGCCGATATGGAGAAAAGGAAGCAGTCACTGCTAGACCCGCGTTTCGAGGGCGGCCTTTCCCCTCGCTCGCAGAGCCCTGCCGCGAGTTTCAAAGGTCTGCGTGCACCGTTGAATGAGAGCTCTGCCAGGTCGGCGCTTGACCCTGACGACCCTGCGACGCAGCGACGCGAAGCAACCGGCGACTACTTTGGGACGATTGAATCATCATCTCCGAGTGATTACAATGAGAACACCATCAGTCCTGTCGTGTCGCCAGACACCCCAGGCCCATCGATGGATATCACTGGCAGTCCGATACCGTTCGTGCCTTCTCGAAAATCCTCCAGTGCTGTCCCTGACCTCGCTATGCTCTCGGTATCCGGCGCGTCTCCTGAGGCGAATAGACCCGAGCATGCTGGAGATTTCGAAGGGCAGACCGGCCAAAATTCCAGACGCTCTTCGAGGGACGCTGTTCTCGCTGCCGTCATCTTTGCCGACACGTCCGAGGACCCGAATCGCTCCAACTCCCATCATACAAGTGGTGAATCCACTGAAAGAGAAGCAGAGCGACCGAGCAGTTCTCGGCAGGGACCGCAGGGGCACCGTCGCCATCACGCCAACACCAACTCCACCGGACGCGGCTCAGGTGCACCGAACTCGCAGCGTAACAGTTGTACGCGCACCCACAGCTTGAGCACATATAGCAATACCATGACGCCCATTTCTCCGGCCACCAATGCCACCAGTTTCGTCACTGTCGATAGCAGGGACGAGAAGGAGCATTCCCGGGAACAAATCAGAGACGAGCATGACGAGTCTGACGGTGCACGGCCGGGTTCATCGAAACAGTACTCCGTCGGCGAAGGGCGTTCCGAGGGTGACACCCATTTCAGCGATACCAACACCTCTCATTCACACATGGATGATGGAAGAAAGAGTCCCATCACCACTTCCGTAGTGGGGAACGGGTCCAACAGCCCCGCGCATTCTACAACAACCACACCGAGCGTCAAGAATGAGGCGCATCCCGCTTGGGATGACCCAACTGCCGGTGAGCAGCCTCCACGCAGGTTGCCGAAACGGCGGAGTCGTCTGCGCTTGGCGTTCTGGAAGCGCAAACCGCATCATTCGCATCACCATGAGCTGAGCGGGGAGACTTGAGCTTTCCTTTTCATCTCGCTTCACCTTCTCCTCGCCTAATGTTCCTTTCTTGTAATTTTGTTTCAAGGTGTTTGGCTCCTGGCGACGAAATGGAGGAATGACGAAGGACTTACGAATGGTATATCCGCTGACGAACTTGTGCTTATGATGGATTGCATGATTCTACGACTAGGCTTGGACGCTGGGTTAGCTCTACACTCAGTCATACTTCCTATATTCCGTGGTTAGGCAATGTGCCTTGCCGTCCTCGCTTTAGCACTGCCGAGTGACTTGGAAGTCCCCCTTCCGGCTATCAAGTCTCCTTCCTTCTCTGCCGCTTTTCTTTACCATCTATATTCTTTCTTTCTCATTTTTCCTTATCTTATTGCTGTATTTTCCGTGGGCAATCATGATTGATTCCCAACGATGCAACGCAAACCGGTTGGGATCAGGAAATCAAATTAGAAACGGGGCGTGGGTTGGCGTTTGGAGGATCCAGAGTTCTCCCCATGCGTGGACTGAACTGTATCATTTCTTGTTTCTGTGACATTCTCTTTGATTCTTATTGCCATTGTTGATTCATATCACCATATCACGATTCATATCAACCCGGTTAGCCAACCTGTTTTTCACTTGTCATGCTAGATTCGGCGAGTCTCGTTCAATATGTTATCCGTCTTCTGTCCTGTCTGTCTGACAAGCTCAAGATTGATCTTGATATATAGAGTTGAATATATAGGACTTCGTCTATCATATCGGTAGCGGTAGCATCACTAAGCCTGACAATCCTCACACTTTTCCGTTTCCTTTTCTTGACTCTGTTTTTGACTATCCCCATTCTCCTTCCTCAAGGCCCGATCCGTATGGCCCAAATCCCTCTGCGGATCAACCACATTCCTCACCCGACTCTTGAGTACCTTGACCTCTATCCGGCATCAGCATCTCAATTCCAGTACCAAACCCAACCCGCACACCTATCCTCATTCCCCCAGAAGTAAAGAGAAAGAAAAGAGAGTACATACCAGGAAACCCCCCATCTACCCTCCGATCCCAGAGCACACTCTCCCGCACCTCCGTCTCAGCCAACGTAGTAATACTCACGATAAACGTCCCCCCAGTGCACGGCACAAGAGCAACCTCGCCGAGACTCGTTGGAAACGTAGAGAGGAGTTCCTGGGCGAACTTTCAATCACGTTAGCATAGCATTAGCATTAGCATTAGCATTAGCGATAGCATGGCACGTGTGTTTGGACTTGTTTGTTTTGTATCGTGTGCACACTGATCTATCTGGGTGAGACGAGAGGAAAAGGGCAGACATACATAAGCGGCTCGGAGCATCCATTTACATTGCGTGCAGTATTTGATTGTGATTCGGGGGAGGGTTGTGGCTGTCGTTGCTGTTGTTGTGGTCGTGGTGGGCGGGGGATTTGTGGTTGTGCTTGAGGTTGGTGGGTGTTGTTCGATTGGGGGAGTTGGTTCGGTCATTTCGTTGCACTAGATGCACTATCAGGGATCGTGTGTACCGTGTGTTGATCTATGCCCTGTGTAGCTGGACTACGTGGTTATTTGATTATTGACTGGAGAGCTGGTGAGATGGAAGGTAGTTAGTGATGGTGGTTGATGATGTCAGCAAGTCGGCGGATTTCTGAAGTCGCGCTTGGTTATGTTGGATGGTTGAGATGAGATACAAGTAGTTGGATGCGACTAAGGTAAGACATTGATTGCTGTATTAGAGCTGGAAACCAGCGATTTCTACTTTACAAGATGCTGGGACTTTGCTCTCAGCCTCGACAGCCGAGGAATGTGCTTTTCGAACCCATGAAACACCATCCGTACCAATCACTCACTCACTGCAGACAAAAGGAAATATGGCGGAATCACAATCACACGAATCGGGAAACAACAAAGACCAACGTAGATAGAAGAAAAAGTTTTAGAAGAGAGAAATAGAGAATATAGAATAGAAGAAGATAATGTCAAGTCGGCGCATCCTCAAGTGCACCACGGATAGCTGGACGCTGAGATCAATGATCATCCCTGGGACGATGTGATACGATGCGACGCATGCTTCGTTCAGTAGTAGGCCTCCCGGAATCTCTGCAAGACCAGCGCGCGTTCCTCCAGTCGACCCGTCATAGCCGCACAATGGCTCACAGACACAGCCGTCACGAGTACCCGGTTTCATTGTTCGATGGATGAGGTATTTTCAGTTATCGTCGTGATGATAGAAGCGGGAAGCCATGTCGAATCCCGAGAGTCCAAAGAAGATGTCAAAAGTATTAGGCGAAAAGAAGAAAAAACGGGGCGGGAAATCATGTCGATAGGGAATAGAAAATCGCGAAACAACAGCTTCAAGAACAAGTCGAGCCGTCTTCGATTTCGGAAAAAAGCGTTCAGTGTCATGACACCATTACATGACCGTGCAGCAGCCTCCCTGCTGCTGAGGAGCATACGGATCCTCGCGCTTGTCAACCTAGGTTTGTGTCAGCACTCCGCCTGCTGATCACTTTTCTTCATAAATCGACATCAATCGCATACCTGGCCCCATACAGACGGTACCATAAAATCACGAGTATTGTTGCAGTAGTTGATCAACCTGGTCAGAGAACGGTTTGTGAGTATTCGGGTCAAGTCCGCACGGCGGTCGGCAACTGGATCACAACCATCCCGTCGCTCATCATAGATGAATCGACAGGGACGATGACAGTTTGCACAGGCAATGGGAATCGGACACTTACGACATGGCAGCCTCAGACACCTTCACTCGAGGACGATCCAGATCCTCCTTTAAGCGAGCATTGAGCTCTGTCAAGCGACGGTATTTGAGATCGGCCACACTCTGCTTCTTGTTCTTGACATCTCCCCCCGACCGCAGCTCGTAGGCAGGCATTTTCGATTCCAATTTCTGTGATCACCAAGAGTCGAGGAAGTGACAAGAACAGTTGTAGACAATTCCCTACACGCGACAACGGAGTAGGGAGACTGTGGGGAGTTGCTGAGCCCTGGAGGGTAGGTAGTCTGGGTTGAGGAGAAGCTTTGGCGCGCTGAACCGGAGAGTAAGGGGAATCCGGAAAAAGCGGGCGGAGTGACCACAAAAAAGGGAGGGGATTAACTGAACAGTCAACAGTCGACACAGAAAGAGTGAGAGGGCGAGAGGATCAGCGGTAGGAAACGAATGGATTTAGTGGGAAATTAAGGAAAGGAAAATAAAAAAAAGAGTAGAGGAAGAGTAGAGTAGTATAAGAAGAAGAAGGAAGACGAAGAAGAAATGGAGGGAGAAATTAAGACCCTACTATTGGAGAGGGACGGGGGAAGGACTATTATGATTATTACTAGCAAGATAGCACCAGCGGGAAAGACACCAGGAGGAGAGTAGAATGAGTAGGTAAATAATCACTACTAATAATCATGAGAATGTTAAGCCAAGTCCACTCTCGCAAGAACAGACCAGTTTCCGACTGTGTGGGAACTGGGAAAAAGGCGATGGACTGATGGTACGTACCGATTCCAAAGTAGATAGTGAAACCCCCCTGAGAGCAATGGTGCGGTGCTACGGACAATGGTCTTATTTAAACTTTGAACAGTCTGGACGGATGGGGGCTTAATCTTGGGGGGTTCTTCTGGTGCGAGCGACGGTATCAAAAAGATTGGACATTTGAGGCTCCTTGAAACAGATTGAGAATGTGTATCATCTCGAGTCTACATCCATCCATCTACGACTTGATGCTTCTCGATGTATGGAATTTCCATGTTGAAGGATCTCACGTGGACCCCTCATTAGCGGGTGGAATGTAAGAATGTATCAGAACTGTCCTAAACTTACCTTACAATACGCTACGAGTAGTATCCAATCACGTGACTTTGACGCATCTCAGCCGCTGGTGTCAACCCTGCATCTCAACAAAGCACATGCTTGATAGGCTAAGATTGATCGGAAGCACGGAGTAGAGTACCTAGATTCGAAGTTCGAATACAATGTAATCTGTATCTAGATAGAGCTGATATCTCATACGATCGTCCAGGTTGCTCTCGGTCCACAAGCAGTTCAGGAGCCAGTTGACTCGTCAAGCAGTAGCCATTCGAGGGAAATAGGGACAGACCTAGCAAAGAAACCAAGTGGAAGATTCAAATCATCCAAGATGAGCATCCTCAACGTCTGATGTATGACTCAGTCTATAACTATTGCTCAAGAGGGAGTGTACCTTTGTACTGTCTACTCCGTCACGTGACCCCGGTCGCTTATCCCAAAGTGGGAACGCAGTTGGGCCTGTTTTTTTCGTGATTCTCCCACAACGACGCATCGCCGCCGCCCTCACTTTCTTTCTGGCCGACCGTCGCGTGGCAGCATCATCAAGAAAAGGGCCTTTTTACACTGTCGAACAGTGCTGCCCGCCCGTCGTTGTGCGATTTGCCAATCTTTCGCCTCGAGATTTCTCCAGCCTCGATCCGAGAAGCCTCTTCGTGAAACAATTTTCACCGGTATCATCTTTAAAACCCACAGGGTCCATCGCCCACCATGCCGCCTCCACCCCATATCAAGCCGGAAAATGTCCTGAAAGTGAGTGGTGATCATGGAAGATATCATCAGTAGCATTCTACAACTCAGAGACTGGTAACTGACCTTGTGTTCTCTCACTGCAGCGGGCTCAGGAACTTATCGCCGTGGGCCAGGCTCCCGCCGCCCTCAATGTCCTCCACGAACATGTCACCTCTAAGAGGACGCGCAGCAGTCCGATCGCCTCTCTCGAACCTGTCATGCTCCTTTTCGTTGAATTGTGTGTCGATCTTCGCAAAGGAAAGGCTGCTAAGGATGGTCTCTACCAGTACAAGAACATCGCCCAGAACACCAACGTGGGAACCATCGAGGTAGGCACAGAACCTTTGATTTGTGATATTTGATTTACAGGGGCTGATATATGTGCTGCGAATAGGTCGTCCTCAAGAAGTTCATCGAACTCGCCGAGAAGAAGGTGACCGAGGCCCAGGCCAAGGCCGACGAGATCCAGTCCTCTCTGGAGTCCGCTGCCCCATCGTCCAACGTCGAGGATCTGGAAGCGATCGAGACCCCCGAGACCATCTTGCTTGCTACTGTTTCTGGCGAACAATCTCGCGACCGAACCGACCGCGCTGTCGTCACTCCGTGGCTCAAGTTTCTCTGGGAGACCTACCGTACCGTCCTGGAGATCTTGAAGAACAATGCTCGCCTTGAGGTCATGTACCAGACCACCGCCCTGCAGGCCTTCCAGTTTTGCCTCAAGTACACCCGCAAGACCGAGTTCCGCCGTCTTTGCGAGCTGCTCCGTAACCACGTCCAGAACGCCGCCAAGTACTCCGCTCAGATGCACGCTATCAACCTCAGCGATCCCGACACCCTGCAGCGCCATCTTGACACCCGCTTCCAGCAGCTGAATGTTGCTGTGGAGCTGGAGCTGTGGCAGGAGGCTTTCCGCAGCATTGAAGACATTCACACTCTTCTCAGCCTTAGCAAGCGCCCCGCCAAGAACGTCATGATGGCCAATTACTACGAAAAGCTTGCACGGATCTTCCTCGTCAGCGAGAACTATCTTTTCCATGCCGCCGCTTGGAACCGCTACTACAACCTTCTCCGCCAGTCCGCTGTGGCTCTCGCCGCAGGCCAGGGCACCAAGAAGGAGAACCCCTCGGTGACCGAGGCTGACATGACCAAGGCTGCTTCCTTTGTCCTTCTGTCTGCTCTGTCGATCCCCGTCATCAGCACCTCCCGCTCTCGAGGCGCCTTGGTCGATGTCGATGAGGCCCGCAAGAACAAGAATACCCGTCTGACCAACCTGCTCGGTATGGCTCAGCCACCCAGTCGTGCGGTGCTTTTCCGGGATGCTCTGAACAAGGGCCTGCTCAAGCGTGCTCGTCCTGAAATTCGGGATCTCTACAACATCCTCGAGGTTGACTTCCACCCTCTCTCCATCTGCAAGAAGATCACCCCCATCCTCAAGCAGATCGGTGCCGATCCCGAGATGGAGAAGTACGTCCTGCCCCTGCAGCAGGTCATCCTCACCCGTCTCTTCCAGCAGCTGTCCCAGGTTTACGAGTCCGTCGAACTCAAGTTTGTCTACGAGCTTGCACAGTTCCCCGATCCCTTCCAGATCACCCCGGCCATGATTGAGAAGTTCATCATGAACGGATGCAAGAAGGGCGACCTCGCTATCCGCGTCGACCATACCTCGGGTGTTCTGACCTTCGACACCGATATCTTCTCTTCCGCCAAGGCTCTGCATTCCGGCAGCGCCGCCGGTTCTGCTGAGAGCGACGTCGGCTCGGTGCAGCGTCTTCAGAACACCCCTGCTGAAATCGCCCGCCTACAGCTCACCCGTCTCGCCAAGACCCTTCACGTCACATGCATGTACGTCGATCCTTCTTATAACGAGGCCCGTATCCAGGCCAAGAAGGCCGCTCAGGCCCGCGCCGAGGCTGGTGCCGCCAAGGAGCACGAGGAGACCCTTGCCCGCCGTGTCCTCATCGAAAAGAAGAAGGAAGCTGCCACCGATGCTTTGCAGCGCAAGCAGAGAGAGGAGGAGACCCGCAAGCGTATTCGTACTCAGCAGCTGCAAGAGGCTGAGAAGCAGAGACTGCTTGACGAGCAGCGGGAACGCGAAAAGAAGCGTCTGAAGGATGAACAGGACCGCATCCGCCAGCAGGAGCTCAAGAAGCAGCTTGAGGAGCTCAAGAGCGGTGTCAAGGGCATCGACATCAGCGAGATCGACCTGGAGGACATGGATGCCAACCGGCTGCGCGCCATCAAGCTTGCCCAGCTCGAGAAGGAGAAGAACGAGCTCAATGAGCGCATTCGCACCACTGCCAAGCGTATCGATCACCTGGAGCGTGCCTTCCGTCGCGAGGAGTTGAAGCACATTCCCGAGGACTACGAAGCCCAGAAGAAGCGTGACATGGAGCTTTACGAGGCCATCAAGGCCGAGACTCTCAAGGAAGCTGAGGAGAAGCACAAGGAGGCGGTTGCCCTCAAGCACCGTCTCAGCCGCCTTGTTCCCGTCTTCTCCAGCTTCCGCAAGGAGGTGTCGGAGAAGCGCCACGAAGAGTTTGAGAAGCGCCGCAAGGCCGCCGAGCGGGAGTTTGAGGCTAAGAAGAAGCAGCGTGTCAAGGAAGTTCAGGAGCGCCGCCGTCGCGAGAAGGCCGAGCGTGAGGCGGAAGAGCGTCGCAGAAAGGAGGAGGAAGAGCGGGCCAAACGCGAAGAGGAAGAGCGTATCGCCAAGGAAGAGGAGCGCAGACGCGTCTTGGCTGAAGAGAAAGCCAAGCGTGAGGAAGAGAGAAAGTCAGTTTCTCCCCAGTTCTATCAATTTATCCTAATGGTACTAACTTACGATACAGGAGACTCGATGAGATTGCTCTACGGCAGAAGCAGCGTGAGGAGGAAGCCGAGGCTCGCCGTGCGGCTAGAAAGTCTGGCCTCGCAGAACCTCCCACTCGTGCTGCTGAGCCCGAGCGGCCCGCTGAGCGGACAGCTCCTCGCCTTAACCTCGCGTCTCGTACTGGTGGTGCCCCCAGCTGGAGAGAGCGCCAGGCTGCCAAGGAGGCTACCGGCGCTGCCCCTGCCCCTGCCCCTGTCCCTGCCCCTGCCGCCGCACCTGCTGCTGCACCTGCTCCTGCCGCCGAGGCACCTAAGGAAGAGGTCCAGCTCCCCCGGAGAACCGGCGGATACGTGCCCCCTCACCTCCGCTCTGGAGCCAGCGCCTCTCCCGCTGCTCCTCCCTCGAATGGCCCTGCTCCCGAGAAATACGTTCCCCGTCACATGCGCGAATCCAGCTCCTCCCAACCCCCCTCCCGCACACAGACTCCCCCCGCCCCCGCCGCCGCCGCCAGCTCCGACAAGCCCGAGGGTTCCCCCGCTCCTCAGAAGTGGGTGCCCCGGTGGAAGCAACAGCAGCAGTAGAGCTAGCGCGATCAAGCAAGCCCTTGTCTGTTGAATCTTCAAAATAAAATCTGAACGCAAAAAATGTTTCTAGCTGCTGAAACGTGTAAGGGGGTTACTTCGTGACCCTTTGGAGGGCTCATACCCCTCGTTTGCATTCTCTCTTTTTAATTCTAACGGTGTCTCTGCTACCTTATCTGGTTGTTCTTCTCATGTTTCATGAATCTAGAGAGTGGGGACTTCTCTCCCCTTTCTTCTCTGGGTAGCCATCATGTCTGTTGTTGACTGCATTGTGCCCCATAAATGAAGTCCAGGTTTTCCCGTCTATATCTTACGTCAGACGACTTTTGTTGGATGAATAATGCAGGAAGAATATGATTTTCACTACTTTATTTTCATACTATGTGGTCCTGCTGTAGCTCGTGTTCGTAGTCAGGCTCTTATCAGTATGTTCGTGGTGGTTCAGGTTTCTGCGGAGGAAATCGTTACGGGATAGACTTAGGAATCAATCTACGCACAGGAAGAAGGAAATATTAGAACCAAAAGCATAGGCAACATTTCCGACAGAATAAATCTATATATTCTTGAAGAGAAAGAAAGAAAAGGGGGTATGTTGCAGGCTACGAAGAAACCCATAAATAAGGACATATGGACAGGATTCGAATCGATGTATGGTGTCAAAGATACAAGAATGAGAAAGTAACCGGCTCAAGCAGCGGCCATTTCCGCCCCAGGAGCAGCAACAGCAGCCGCACCAAAGAGCCTCTCCCTCCATTCGCCGCAAACGGCCTCGAACCCACTGACGACGTCCCGACAGACGCGGCCAGCTTCGCGGTCTCGCAGCCGGCGGTCCCAGTCCCCCTTTTCGATCCACCGGGTGGCTTCTTCGCGGCCTTCCTCCTCGCGGCGCAACTCGGCGACGAGTTCCCGTGCGGACCGCAGTCGTCGCGAGGCGGTTGCAGTTAGCTGTCGCGATTCGTAGAGGGTGTCGCTAAGGCCACGGAGGGACAGCGTGAGGTCCGTGGTTTGCGCGATAAGAGTCTGGAGGCAGACGAGTGGGTTCAGCGAGGGCGATTGAGAAGGTGTGGTTGGTCTGGAGGAGTGGCGTGGCTGACCGGGGAACGGGTAGGGCAGGTTAGGCAGAAGGCCTTCGTCGATGAGTGGGATAAGCTCGTCGATTGCGTCCGGAGAGAGGAGCGGATAGGGGGAGAAGAGAAGAGGGTGGGTGAGGGTCTGGAGCGTTCTGGTCTGGTGGGTTAAGTGCGAGGTGATGGAGGTGTGTGCTGTTATTAGTCTGCGGAGGTCAGTAAATGCTTAGGAGTTCATCAACTCAAGAAGGCGACGTACCTCATGGCGTTGTTTTCGATCCCGCTCTGGCTCCCTAGGTCCCGGAGCGTCTCAACAACACGTTTGATGACATGATCGTTCTCACTGCCGTTGTTCTCGATCCCTCGCCGGACTAAGCTTTCGATCTCAGCCATCTGCCCCTCCAGACTAGGCGATATGTCTGCCGCTTCCTCGAAGTCCGACTCGTTGCCGTAGTCGGAGCCGTCGTATTGCGATTCGTGCCTCCGGTGATTTCGTTGACTGCCGTTGCGAGCTTTGACCCGAGGCGGTTGCAGCGAGGCATGGCCCGGCGCGTAATCTGACAAGGGCGATCGCGGTCCCATATTGTAGTCGTCCTCACCGTCACTCCTGGTTGTGCCTTGTAGGTCCCCCGATGCATTGTCCTGACCAGAGACATAGCCATAACCCCCTTCCTCTTCTTCGTCCCACGCGTCCGCGAGTTCGTCTGCAAGGTTTCCCAGCCCCCCTGCGGCGTCTGCAGGGCCTCCGAAGTCACCTGATAGCCTGTACGACCCGTTCATGGCTTGCGCATTCCGCTGGCGGGGTTCCACCGGCGAAGGGGGCGCTGAGGAACGAGGGGTCCGAGGCGATTGTGTAGGACTCTGAGAGAAACCATTGGGAGCGTAGGTTCCGGGGGAGATGGGGTCGAAATCGAGGTTGGAGGACTGGCTGTGACTATGGCGGTGAGATAGCCTCAGGGGGGATGGTGGGATGGCCGGCATGATGCAAGTCAGTTGGAAGAAGGTCGAGAATCCCACGTGGGATTGTGACAAGGAATGCAGACAGCAGCAACTGAGAATCACTCCTTAGGATTCTTGACGTCCCGACAGATCAACTGTGTTGTTTTATTTTCTCAGGATTGAGGGGTCTGTATCGTCAAATGTCGATCGCGGAATGAGCTGGACGCGGGCAGGGGCCACACTGAGGAGAGGAAATAACAAGACAGGAGGTCTCAATAATCGTAGCATCACCAGGATGCTGGAAGAGTAGAAGGAAAGACAAGAGAATGGATGAATCTCATGACACAAAGAATGAATTTCTCGATAAGGATAATAAAGAATGATGATGTAAAACACAACGAACTACTCTCAGCAGAAGAATAAACAGCCGCTCTTCCCGTGACCGCCGAAGCCCCAATCAGATCATTTAATTTACATCAGCTTCATTATTTCATCTGCACCCCACACCACCAAAAGTTTCACTTCTATTGAGCTTGCCAACGGCAATTGATGGTCATTTCCTATTAATAGCAAAAATGAGTTCCATTCGGCGCGTGTCCCCAACGGACCTCCTCTCCCTCAACCTCACCAACCTCGACCCGTTGACCGAAAACTACGACCTGGGCTTCTACCTCAACTACCTCATGCGATGGCCCTCACTCTTCAGCGCTGTCAAAGATCGCACAGAAGGCATAGTCGGATACAGTACGTGCAAACATCATCGCAGCCATACCACCTCTGCAAGACCCTCGCATCGCTAATGAAATCAAAAACAGTCATGGGCAAACTCGAAGAACAACACCCTTCAATGCGCCACTCCGAACACTACACCCCCTGGCATGGACATATCACCGTGCTGACGGTTGCCCCAGCCTGGCGACGTCTAGGCCACGCGCGCCGCCTGACAGAGCGTCTCGAGCACGGCTCCGATATCAACGATGCCTGGTTTGTGGATCTGTACGTGCGCGCGGGGAATAAGGTCGCTGTGGGGATGTACAAGGGGATGGGGTACTCTGTTTTCCGGCGTGTGGTCAATTACTACAGCGATGATCCGACAGGGATGTCGGATTCGGGCGAGGATGCGTTCGATATGCGCAAACCGTGCAGTCGGGATAAGAATTTGCAGCATTTACGCGAGAATGGGGAGGAGTTTCTGGTGAATCCGGAGGATGTTTCATAGGACGTAGCATTTGTCTTTATGTTTGAGCGGGCTGTGGTGCTTGATGCAGTCGATTTAGCTTCCTGGCGTTGGGGAGTTATACTATGGTATTCTGCGGCAATATGGATTCGAAAAGCATGGGATGATGATAGACAAAATCACTTTTATTTTCCTGTCGAGAATAATGCTAGACCCTATCATGCATGGTGTATATATGAAACAATTTGAAGAGCCCATCCAATATGAACAACTGTTCACGATGCAAACCCGAAAGCAAAGCCCGCGTTTTCGCTCTATAATGCAATACTGATCTATGACCCCGAAACCGACGATGCATCCGTGATATGTACCGATTATCATGATATGTGCTTTCAATAAGCCACAAACGCTTCGCATAAGTCGTGCAACGTTCATGACACTGGTGGCTATCATGCTCTGACAAGCAGCCGGGCCCCAGTGCGTGAGAATCGCAGGGCCGCAAAAATGGCGGCTGCGGTGATGATGCAGCAAGCGGTAAAGAGTTGAACGCCGAGATAATTATGGGTATTACTCATGATGGCTCCACCAATTGGTGTTCCGATCAGCAAACCGATCGAGGTCGTGGCGAAAATCATGCCCAGACGAGTACCCAGGTCGCGGATATCTTTCGTCAACGTGACCATGACTACCGGTGGGAGTGAGACAAACCCACCGGAGCAGAGACCGTACAGGACAGAGAGAACAATGATGCCGGGCACATTGTGCACGCCAATCCAGGCAAAGGCCAGAACTGCTGTGGCTGTGACAGCTGGCGTCAGGATGTTCAGTGGGCCGGTATGATCAGCGACGAAGTTGGGAAAGATTCGTCCCACGGTAGAACCCGCATTAAGCATGGAGAGCAGATAAAACCCCAGATTTTCATCGACGATTCCGGTGTCGATGGCATAGGACTGCACGTAGAATAGGAAGTTATAGAAGCCCAGGAAGCCCAAAAACATGGCAACGGCAAACATCACGAACGCTGGTTCTTTAAAGGCAGACAGCTGGACCAACTTGCGTTTCTCGGTAGGCAGAAATCGCATACGCATGAGAGATAGGGAGATGCAGCAGGTTCCGAAAGCTACGAAGCCCAGTGCGCGAGTCGCCCACGCAAATCCAACTTGGTCCTGCAGCTTATTGAACATTATCGGATAGACCACGCCCCCGATACTGCTGCCTGAAGCCGCCAGTCCGTTGGCTAAACCTCGCTTCCGCTTGAAGTATTGGGGCAGAATAGCAACCGAGGGAACGAACAGGCATCCGGCAGCCAGGCCGATACAGACTCCTTGACAGAGGATCAAGTGCCAATACTGTGAAGAAATACTGGTCATCATCAAGCCAAATGGGAGCACGACGGTGCCAAATATGACGAGAGCTCGAAAGTATCCTGCATCGAACAACGGGCCGGTCACTACTCCAAAGAGCATCAGAAGAAACGATTGCAGAGATCCAATCCAGGCAATGGATGATGACGAAACATTCGAGAGAAGATTTTGTTCATAGTATGTCTGGAAAGCGCCCCATGTATTGATCACACCCCTAAGACGACGTAGCGATTAGCGATGCAAAAGAGCAGCCTCAACAATGTCATGCATTCACAAATGTACCTACCATGAGTTGAAGAATAGGAAGAATGATCCAAGGACCTGCAACCATGCCGGGATGCCTGTATCGAAGGTTGGCTCTTCTAGGTGTTTCTCTCCTGGCTGCTGTTCTGGTGTGCGCACGTTGCTCTCGTCATTGTTGCTGTTCACCGAGGGCGCAACGGCCTTCTCCTCCGCGTGTGCCCTCATCCCCATTTCCTGTCCTTCTAGATGGCAATATCGTATAGATCCGACTCAGCGCGCGAACAACCACGGCCGATTCTATGTGTAGCGGAGATGTGATGGCAAACTATGCAAAAAGGGTATATATAGTCAAAAAGTCCCATAGAAATGCAGATTAAAGACCGACGATGAATTGATTCAAGCGGACGAAAATAATTCAAATCAAGAATCGCCCAACACCTGTCAATCTATCAACATGCGACACGGAAAAAACAGCAGATGCGCAAAACCAAATTTATATGCGATAAGGATTTCTCAGCAACCCTTAGAGTCAGCGGGGCACTAAAAAAGTCCAAGCTTGCCAGCCAGAGGCCCGAGAGGATACCACTGGGACTGCGGATATCAAAGGAGAGATCCACTGTGAGCCGGTCCATAAGTCGTATTCCTAGGGAGACCAGAGGCATGAGTCAGTCTTCAAGATTCCAAACTGCCGGCATACGTGACCAGTTTTTTAAATGTCGATTGGGATCAAGCCCATTGACCCTACAGCTCCAGGATTTGATACGTGTGTTAAGTTGCTTGCGGCATTGACTACCGCTAGAAGCCTGAAAGATTCATCCTTGTCCTTGGGGTAACTCCGAAGGTCTTCTCCATTCGAGCAAGAATGGCCAACCGCTAAGGCTGATGGATAACCGAGGGACCAGGGCCCACTCGACTACCAAAGTCGGTAACGAACTCAGGCCTTAAAGACAAGTCAAGCAATATAATCATATGCTTTTGCATAAGATCCGCTGTAACTATGATTCATAATCAGATGAGGTAGCAAATAGGACGAGCCAGGGTGACTATGGCGTCCCAGGGCGCCAAAAACATGGACAACGTGACGTGCCGAGTGCCGTCTTATCCAGCGGGGAAGGACCATGCTTCATGATGATGCTTGCGGCTTGATTCTCATTAATAATAGAAACGAGGCATATCAGATTGTGCCCTAACAGTAGCCTTGGATGCTGCTGGACACAAAAATAAAGTTTCCCTGGTCATGTTGAAATTCTGAACTGACGAGGAACTGAAGTTAGTCTAGACTTGACTGGAACCACCTGAAAAGAAAAGAACACAGGAATAAAAGGATTAGGTAGGGTAAGACTTGACTTGCAAGGGGAATGTGGATCGCCAACTCGGGGGCTTTGCGGCACACTCCGAAAGACCGAATCCACGTTTTCCCGCACTTCGATCTCCGAGACTCCGTGTGCCAGATCCGAGCCAGATCATTCGAAAACATGAACCAGACTTCTAGCTTCGCATTTGCAGTTATGGAGAGATGACAGAGGGCATTCGGGATTATGTACGTTTGCGGCCGGCAATCGTAACAGTATCTGTGCAGATCAAGAACATGGCGATGTACTCCGTACGTAGAAACATTCTGTTGACTGCCTAGTGATCATCACGTGATGCTGCATGTCACGCTAAGCTCCTTTTGGAAGAAGGCATCAAGGTAGTATCAAAAGTACAAGCAACCGATGAGCTACTCCAGATCATATCATTGTAAAGCTCATCAAACTCAAAATCACTGAGGTCAGGTGAAGATACAGACTTGCCGTTTACTCATTTTATCGCAACGCGTGCTCCAGCATGCAAAGGGGCAAGAGAAACGGAGGTTCGTACACTTCAGGGGGAACTGTCCTGTACTCTTCACCTTTCGCATCATTCGTTTAGTGTTTCATTATGTTTTGCCCTGATATCGTGCAATAGGAAGTTATGCTCGAGTATTGTGAGCGCAGGCTTCGAGATAGTACACATAGCACACATTTTGTTGGAAAGGCTAGAGACTTGTTGAGAACTTCAGGTGTTTGTGGATGCGGGTAAACACCCAGGGCCAATGGAATGAACGTAACACTTTTTTCATATTCTATCCATCAAAGGTAAAGTATACTTCTTTTCTGTTCTTTGCTGAATTCCAAATCCCGGCGACCGGATCATTAGCAATGCAATGAACGGTTCGCTTCCTGCTCCCAAACTCCGAACGCTATGCGGGACGTCAAATCAGAAGACCATAATTAGAATGACAAGTAGAAACAAATAGCTCAGTCTCAACAGACATCCACCCAAAATGTGATCAGATTCTAGAGTAGCTCTTCACACGTCCAGTCCTCGTACCTAAATGTTCGAAAGCGGATTAGACATGCGTCCATACACGAGGTACGGGATAACTTACGTTCCATCCGGCAGATATCTCCTCACAATGAGTGGGATCTTCTTCTGGTTCAGCTCCTTGATGGCGATCTGCAAAGGATCTGTCTCTCCCTCAAGATCTACAAGCACGGGAGCATTCATACTGTGACAAATGTCAGTTCGACGGTCTTCACATGCCACATGTCGCAGATGACAAACCTGATCTGCAAAGCTCTGGTACCCAAAACTCGCGCCCTTTCGTATTTGGTCATGTACGGGGTTGTCTTGCGTTCTTCATTGGGGATTTTCTTCGCCCGTGCTTGTTCCACCACCTTGCCCGAGTATCCCGCACTGGGATCGCCAGAGACGACGATACGGTCACCATTGACTGCCGGCGTATAATGATCATCCGCATAGCCATCGGCGCCTCCTTCGGCACCTTCGAGATCCTCGGGGTTTATGAAGTCTTCGGGCTCATTTTCGTCGAACACCTCCTCCGCGGGCTCGTAGTCGTAGCTGTAAAATGTGCGAGTCAGAACGGCTGAACTAGCTCAAGAAACCATTTTCACCAGTGGATTATGCGGCGAGCAAGTGGAGTGCTCCCAATCCAGACTGAACAATGCAGTCAAATGAGGTGTCCTTACGTTTCCTCAGCGTCGTGATCTCCGTAGTCAGACATGGTGTCAAATTAGAGCTGGTAAACCAGGTAAATAATAACCAAACGAGCGTGTTCAGCAGCCACACAAGTGAAGGGACGGCAAATATCACGTCCAGGGATAGAGACGCTGCGAAAAGATCGACCTTGCGACAGGCTTGGTGAAGATGAAGATTTCGATATCGCGACCCTCCAAAATAGCGGCGGAAAAAGTTCCTTGGCCCCGTTAACACTAAGCCCTTTCTGGTCAGCTTTGTCACCGCTTTTAACATCAGTCCCTGGCATAATTTTTATATGATATTCTTATCAGCAGTTGAATGTGCGCTTGATGCGTTGACCATTGTCCAGTCTATGCTCTTAATGGTCGTATTCCTGTGAAGCCTAATATCAGGGCTCTATCTGAGCCATGGGTGAGAAGCGCAAACTTGAGTCGGATGAGCTCACTATCCCGAACAAATCTCGGAAACGCACGGCGCTGGACGATGCTGGTAAGACGCTTGAACCCTGGGATTGAATTGACTGTGGAGCTGAACATCGCTGTCGCAGATCCGATTTACGAGGAGCCTCAGTCAGATGCCGATTATGTATCTTCCGACGAATCCAGTGTGAACAGCGACAGTCTCCACGAGACTCCAGCGACACCAATCTCTACGACCTCAGCCAAATATCCTTCGGAGCTGAAAACTCACCGCTGTCCCTTCGATGGTTGCACAAAGGCATTCAACCGGCCAGCGCGACTTCAAGAACATCTGCGCTCCCATAACAATGAGAGAATCTTCAAGTGCACATTCGAGGAGTGTGACAAGACGTTCCTCCGCGCATCTCATCTGAATCACCATATCAAAAGCGCACACACTGGGGTCCGAGACTACGTATGCGACCGTCCTGGCTGCGGGAAGAGCTTCGTGACCGGCTCCCGGCTCCGTCGACATCTGGCTGCCCACGATGGACGAGATAAGTACCGCTGCACGGAGTACCCGCCTTGCAATGAAACATTTCGGAAGCATTCCACCCTTCAAAAACACATCATGACCGCACATCTAAAGCAAAAGCCTTTCCAATGCCCCCACGCGGATCCGAGCACCGGGCAGAAATGTACAATGGCATTCGACACAGCAGGGCATCTTCGAGCCCACGAAAGCCGCATTCACACCGAGAAACGCTTTAGTTGCACAGAATGCTCCCAGCACGCAGAGGGTGCCGAAGCAACCTTTCCCACCTACGCCCTCCTACAAGCTCATATCCGATCCATCCACCCCCCGCGATGTCCCAACTGTTCTCTGACTTGCGCGACCTCCCGCGAACTCCGCCGCCATCTCGAAGTCGCCCACGGCGACGTCAGTCTCGAGGAACGCAAGACATTCCCTTGCACCGTACCCGGCTGCGACCGCAGCTTCACCAAGAAGGGAAATCTGACCGTACACATCCGCACCGTCCATCAGGGCGAGAAACGCTTCGTCTGCGGCGAGACCGACCTCTCGTCCTCGAAAAAGGTGTCCGGCTGGAACAACGACAACGGCTGCGGCAAGCGGTACGGGAGCAAGCTCGCGCTGGAAGAACACATCCGCACCGCACACCTGGGCTACCAAAACGCCAAAGCCGAACGCCGCCAGCGTCTCGGCATCACCCGCGATCGACAGCATTCTACCGCAAGCTCACCCGGTGTGTCCGCGCTGGCCGCGCTCACGGGTGAGGGCTACGCCGAGGAAACGGGCCGCCACATCGCGTGTCTGGTTGAGTCGTGCCCGCACCGGTTCCACAGAGACTACGATCTCTGGGTCCATATGAGCGGCAAGCATCATTTCTCCGAAGAGGAAACCCGCGATCTATTTCTGCGGCGAGCCCTGCTCGCGCATGAGTTCGGTGCGTCTGCTTCTGCTTCTGCTTCCTCCGAGGAACTGTTCGGGGGAATCTACGGCCTTGAATTCGATAACGATCATTCGTCGTATGATCCGTATGCGTTGGATGGGACCGAGACGATAGCGACTTCTGGCGCGGCCGTGTCGAAGCCGTTGCCTGCGCACGGCGTCGATGTAATGATGCATGACAGCAATTCTACGATACCCACTACTGGCGATGATATGGCGCTGATTGATCCTGCACTGGCTTACGATATGATGGAGTCGTAGCTTTGGAGCGATTTACTTTTCATTATTTTCGGGAGTTCTTACGACCAAAACTTCTCTTTCCATAGATCTATCATTTGAGCTGATCATGATAAATGAGGATTATGCTGGATCAAATCTATTTCTTTCAACCGCACGGTCGTATGTAGATCGCATAGATGGCTGTAAACTTCATACTTGTACTCCTACGCAAATCTAGCAGGCCGTCAGAAGCGAACAACTGAAATTCAGTCCATCACTCACCTTTACTTCTAACAGCACAGTATTGATCATTCGAGCTGCTGAAGGTCAGCAGTCGTCAGAGTTCAACCTACCAAACCAGGCCCGCCAGAGACGGTCTGGTCTGGCCGTCAGTACACTCCTAGGTTCAGGTGTCAGCATTCACAAAGCATAACCCAGTGATGCCCCAAGCGGAGACACTCATCTCGGCGTGAGTCAGTACGTTGCACGAAATTCAGCATCATGACCTGGTTGGTTGAACAGTTAGCTGCTGGCTCCGCTCCGCGTAACGTGAGAGAAAAATGTGAAAATGCATCAGCCATGAGAAACAGAACAAAATTCACAAAGGGGAGTTTGAGTAATTCTGTAAGTACATATGTGCTTTTTCTCCTTATTTTTATGTCCTTTCATCCATGTCCCTGGAAATGAGTGTCTTTGTTTCTTCGATATGGAAACTAGATAGGCCGCAATGCCTCGACAAGTGCCAACAGAAGACCAGCCCCGAGCGCATGCGATCATCGCAGCCAGAAAGCTTCAAGAAGACAAAAATTATCTTCAACCACGAAGAAACGATTTGGAAGCCAAGGGATGTTTGGTGCAAGATGAAATGAAAGAAAGAAGATGGATGACCGTACCAAACCAGATTGGAACTGATTTTTGAGGCTGAACGCAGCTCAAACCGCCAAACATGGCTTCTTTCCGTCTTTTTGGGTTTTTCTCCTTTTTTTGCTGATTTTCGAATAGTTCCCGAGGGGAGAAGGCCAAGTTACTGTCCAAAGCCGGATATTCAACGGATTGCTGGCCCAGACAACATCACAGCTGTGCAGGAGGTCACCCCGGGCGTGCGGTTTGAATCCTAGATCGAACGTGCGTAACCGGCGAAATGATAAACCAATCGCTCTTCCTCGGGTGAAGCAGGATGGTCAAGAGTTGTTTCCTCAGCAGGAAGGCTTGCAGAAGGAATAGCCAAGGGGCCGGTTTTCTTTGCCATGTTCTGCTGAGCAAGTAGAAGTTAGCGGCCTCCATAGAAAAATCAGATAACCTAGCTTATCTCCTGTGTAGACTGACCTTGCGATTGCCATCCCAAGCACCAGCAAGAGATCCATGGATTTCGGGGAATTCAGTGATCATACGAATTCGCATGCCCTTGGAAGATTGGCCACCAGAGGTGCGGTGGTTGGGATAGCCCTGCTTCTTCTTGTCGCTCTTCTTCTTCAAGAAAGATGCCATCTCGACCTGGCAGCACACCAAGCTTTTGGCAGATCTGAAGACATCAATAAAGAAGGCCGGGTTGCGGTCCGCGTAGACCTCGTCGTCGTAGGGAAACGGGGTCGGGATCTGGGATTTAATCGAGCTGGGGCACAGTCTGGCCTCGGCAAGTTTCTGCATGAAGAGGATGTAGCTGGCACTCGGATTCTCGGAGGGGTTGTGGATGGTAAAGTTACGAGCAACGTCACAAAAGAGATGGACGGCCGCAAGTCCTCTCGCTAGACCAAGCCACTGAGCAACCTTGAACAGCAGACTCATGATTTTTTTCTGATGATCGTTCAGAGGCCAATCAGACACATCGACAAGATCAACATTGGTAGAGGACGAGCGAGGAACCCTGATATGTTCTGGTGGCAGCCATCCAAATCCACGAGCCTTATCGGGGTCATGCTCCATGACATGGCGTTTGAAATACTGGTGGAACCTTGTGAGCTCGATCTCAGATGACAGATAATTGTTCCAGCCAATGGATGCGCGAGAGCTGTCGCACCGCTGTGCCCTCATGCTTGTCAGCACAGTGCGCTCATTACAGACAGGGAGATCGTTATAGAAATGTCCTGGGTTCATTGTGGTCAGCTTCATCGACAGGTGGAATGGTGACGTGCAATCTTACTTTCCTCGTCAATCTCCTCTGTTGCAGACCGCATGTCAAGCTCAAAGGCTCTAATCACCTTGATGGATGCTTCAAGTTTCTCGCAGGACTTGCCAATCTCAAAGGGCCTGCAGTTGATCCAATATATGGCCTTGTCGTCGTCTCCACGCAAGGTCGACAGCAGCCGTCTCAGCATCTCAATCTCGGACATGAAGAACGTCTCATCGACCAGTTGAGTCTCGCTTGGCTCACATAAAGCAATGGGATAACGAGCACGCAGCCACCGAACTAGCTTTACTTGGGCGATTTCGATCTTGCCGTCGGTCTGAAGAAGGAGGATCAAGAGATGGGCGAAGGAGCTGGGGAACAGATCTTCCTCGAGCAGTGGTAGCGTAGCCATGATCTCTCGAGCAAGGGAGTCGGGATCGAACCCTTTGGCAAATTCGTCCATCAGTTGAGCAAAATCCTGAAGCTCGGCCGCGGTGATCTCTTTTACTTTCTGATCAACCCAAGACAGACGCTCATCGTCACCCTCTTCAAAATCGTTAAGTCCATCGGTAGTCTCGAATGGATCCTCGAATTCAAAGTCAGGTGAGAGAGGGAACACGTCCATATTGGCGACAAAAGGCTCAGCCACTGCTCATTGGAGGTTTCGAAGCCTGAGACAGACAAAACACAACAAAGCACGCAAAAAGAAACGCCAAAAAGACAAAGAAATAGAAAGACAAACTGGGGAGGAAAACAAACAAATGAAAAGCTGAAGCTGGAAGAATGCCCGTGAAGTCGTTTCAATAGCTAAGGGTCTGGCTGAAGCATACGACAACTCCACGTGCTGTAGGAATAATCAAGATGGTATCGAATAATAAACGACTCGTTTTAGTGGTGTAAGGAAGGAGAGATGTGGGAGAGATGAAAAGGAGTGGAGGTGAGGGAGAGGTCAGAGATGGGCTGAGGGTGAATGAGCAATGAGCAGTGAATATCTGTTGTCATGGCGAGGATGCCACGCACGACATCATTTAATGAGGAAGAACCTCTCGAACTGATATTCACCTTTTTTCTAAGAATCTGTCATTAGAGCTATAGTCGGTCAATCGCAGTGACAGACTGGATTATCCTTGGATTCAAGTTGCGGACAGCTGCCATATGAGGCTATCTTGCCTGTCAGAGTTGAGGCTTCAGTCCAGAGTAAAGATTTCCAACCCTGACTGAGCTGATGTGTACCTTCACACTATCAGCATAGAAAAGGACAGATACGCAGTCAGTCAATCGCTCCTGATTCACTACCTTGGGGCAGCTCTGTTAGCTTAGGCGCCTGGTTCGACGACTAAGGCCATATCTTCAGCAATGATCTCTAGGAGAATTCATCATGAATCAGGTAAATTCCACTTGAGAATAATGCCGAAAAGAGGATGCTGTCAAAAAGCAAACAGTTTGCAACCTGAAGGGGTTCACAAGCTGGATGAGTGTGGACGCCGTCTCCGCTCGAACGGTCTATCAGGACCATACAGCAGTCGACTCCCTGAGTTGAATCGAATCCCTTGCGGGTTTGGAACACATCGATCCTCAATGAGTTAGATGCATTGAGTCAGACTGACGGTCTAGGCTGAGCTCTGAATGGTCCAGTGTCCGCTTTTCATCGCGGTGTGCTGAATGGCACCTTCCTGGACGATCAGGCCAGCATAGGGTCTTTGAATGTCCGTTAGGATGTCTTTCTGATCTTCTTAGACAATCCATGATTTGAGAAATGATTACGGAGACCAGAGTGATATGGCCCATTTGGATGCTCATAAGGTGCCAAGGACGTTCCCATCGAAAAGACCAAAATGAGTATGGAATACCGCTGATAATTGAGACCTGGACCTCCCTACATTTTCCCTCATTTATCGAGACGGTTTAAATGTGGATACTACTAATCGATTCCATGTCAGAATCCAAGATTGGTCTTTTCCTATTCCTCGCTAATAATCAAGATCATACCTAACGCCAAGAGCATATACTCGGTACGGAGAGCCCAGGCTTCCGGTGATGAACTGTACGGAAATCTACAACCTGACGGAAGGCCACGGTGGCTTGTCAAGGTCACTGCGCATGCTCTCAAGTTTCCGAGGCGATCATGGACTGTTACTACTACTGCACGAGGATGAGGGAATATCTAAGAGAGAAATAATGATTACGTGGTTGATCAACAAGAAGCCCTTGTTGATCATCCGAGTCCATGGGTCAAGAGAAAATTAAGCCCACTGCTGAGGTCATAATCTGCCACCCGGGACTCCAGTTACAGCAAAGATCGCTGCTCTCAGTGCGCGTCCGATGGGGTTCTGATGGAAAGCTCCGCTCTAACTACCGAGTCTAAGGCGATAAACTCGGTGTCGGTGAATCGCTACCAATATCAGTCACATGACGATCAGATCTAGCACAATCATACCGCCATAACTCGAGCAGAGTCATTCCTCGCTGGAGTTCGGAAAGAAATTCACCAACATCGGCCTTTTATGGTGGCAAGGCGTGCCTTTCGCCTTTGCGCAATAACCATGCAGACAAATCAAGTGTCTTGATCCATGGCATGCAGCCAGGAACAGACCGGACAGGCACAGAAGCGTTACGACGTGGGAATTAGACTTCAGCCGTCCTCTCGTCAGAAGTTTGCCACTGGTTACCTTGCCTTGATAGACCAAGACCGGCAGCAGGATGATATCAAATCCTCCTCCTTGAACTTCCTTTGTGGGAATTGTACAGAGGTACCAGAGCCTAAGGTAGGTAATAGCCGGCGTTCCCAATATGTGGCTGCATGGTATTGGGGCTTAGAATGGCCTGTAATGACATTTACCTACGACGATTACCCTTGTGGCCATTCGGATGTGTACGGCTTCCGAGTGCTGTCGAATAGTCAAAATGTCCAAAAAATATTATCCAAACGTCCCTACAACTCCGCTGTTAAACTGAATTGCGCTTAGCGCTCACTTATGCGATCGCTTCTCCTCGCCTGGTTAAAAATGTGCGTGTTGAAAAGGGCAAAAGGGCGCCTTACTCTTTCATCAATCAGTAAGGTAAGGGAGCAACCGTACTGTAATTTAGCAGTCTAGTCTAGTCCCAGAATAGACGTCTCGGCTTTTCTCTTGGATTCTCTCCTGCCAGTAAGACATGCATATTTCTCTGTTGCTATATTTGGGTGTGTTCTTGATACACTGGAGTAAGGAGTGCGCTGGACAGGGTCAGATTTGTTAATAGAACACCATCGTCAAATTTGTTGGCAAATATCAATCGAGTCTGTAAGGTACAACAGTATCCTTTGCTGCGTATTTTCTGAGCGAGAAATTATCTTCCTGAGGCTCAACCCCTATTCGATCTTAATGCATATTAGTTCTCTATTGATTATCCGTCCATAAGAGCACTACTACTCCGTACACAAATACTAGTTCATTGCGTCTAGTCCACATAGGATATCCTAGGTAGATGCAGACTACATACAGTACTTATTATTATTAGACACTTCCTGTCTTTACCGCGGGGTGGTTGGTCTGGCCGCGTCACAAGTGATTTAATGGCCAATAATAAAGAAATACTACTGTTTAGTATCATTATTCATTGACACTTACCGGTGGCTAGTGACAGTCTACTAAATGATTACTCCATTGATGTGACCTCTTGCCTATCATTTAACAATGGCAACGGCAGTAAACACGGGAGTGGAGGTGCAAGAGAAGAATGTGTCTGATCACATCATGGACACAATTGACATGACCAACCGGAATGAGAACAATGGTCGCATTCAAGGAAGAGATGGATAAGCCAGAGTCAAACCCTCCAGATATGATGAAAGGTAAAAAGAACGGCAATGACGCCAGCCGCGACTTGGCCTGGTGGTCCAGTCATTTTGCATGTCTCTGATATTGGTATTATTATTATTATTATTATTATTATTATTTCTAGTATCTAGTCTACCTAATAGTTCCATCCAACTCCTTCTACTGATATCGTTTCTCCTATTTCATCCCTATTCTTTGGCTACAATCAAAATACTCCTGATCGTCCCTCGACCTTCAACACCGCCACAGGAAGATTCAAAGAAAAAGAAAAAGGGAAAAAGGAAGCCCTGCGAAACAGTGTGGTATTACAGTTACCATTTCCACCTTGAGACCCACGTTCGGCGACCATCACTACTACGATACTACTCCTCCTACTACGGAGCAGTAGTAAGTAGTACTTACTACCTTATTTACCCTATGATCCATCATCCCTCATCTCTCTCGCATTTCTTTCTATTCTTTCCTATCTCGCTCGTTTCCTAGATTTTCTCTCTGATTGTTTCCTCTTCGAAGAACCTACTCCCTCTCTCTTTTTCTCCTCATTCCGACCACCCACTCGCCGCTGTTCGCCCCGCCTTCCTTCTCTCCACTGATCAAAGAGAGACTGAGACACCAAGCCTGTGACTGCAATTATCCAAGTCAGGCGCTTGCAACCTGAACTTTCCTCGTCACCAGCCGATCTTGGCGGTCATTACGACACTGTCCGGTTGTGACCTGTCCTGCCACTCTTTTCCAAACACTATTTTCGTCTACTCCGACAATTCATCAAATCCAGATCCTACATGGAATCCTCTCCTCAATAGATCCCATTCTTGGCGGGCCCGAGACCCCATTGCTACCTCCGCGCGGAGGAGCCCGGACCTAACACACTGTTGCTCTGTTTTCTTACTCTTCATCTCTCGTTACTTGTCTGTTGTTCATCCGCGACCTGACAGCTTTTTCCTGTCGTTCCGGTCAAGTTGCCTGGCGGTAGAGTGTCATATCTGTCATCTCAAGGGTTGAACCGGCAGCTGGTCTTTTCTTCTGCAGCTTCTACCTCATTCTACAATAGATCAGTCACTGGAGTCTAGACCTCGATCATTATGGTTCGTTCGCGTGGTGAGTAGACGATCGTCCCCTTCCCGAATTCCGAATGACGGTAACTGATAACCCCTTGCGTTATCAGTGCGGTCTTTCATATCAGCCTTCGGTGGCTCGTCCCGCAAGGAGAATGCCGGACAGCATCATCGTACAGCTTCAGCCTCAGTCACGTTGAGCAATCCTCCGTCAAGATTCGAGACCCCTTCTCCCGATACACCCTCACCGATCGAAGGCTCGCCGTCGCAGTTGACAACAAAAGCGGAACGCCGCATTTCACGGCCAGCATCGACGGTCTTCTCTCACAATCCTCCGTTGACGGAGCTTTCAGAAGATACGCCGCCCGAACTTCAGCCGATATTCACTTTCCTCAATAACCACGCCAACAAATTGTACCATGAAGGATATTTTCTCAAGCTGAATGATCTGGATACCCGTATGTGCTTGTCTCAAGTGTCTGTCGAAACCAGCACGAACTGACTCAAGTGTATCTAGAGGGCCGGCCTTGTTCCGATCGACAATGGGTTGAATGCTATGCGCAACTTATTGGGACAGTACTTTCAGTATGGGATGCCGCTGCGCTGGACGCAGCACCAGAAGGCGAAGAAGTCCCTTCCACATTCATCAATCTGGCGGATGCTTCAATTCGAGTCGTGAGTACCAGATGAAGCGGTATAGACTTATTGGACTCTCTAACGAAAAAGCAGATTGAATCATTGCCCACCAGAAACCAAGCAATGGAGCCACTGAAGAATGTCCTGAGCATATGTTCTGCCGGGCAGAACCGGTACCTGCTGCTTTTCAATTCTTTCCATTCATTAGCCCAGTGGGCCTCAGCCATTCGTCTTTCGCTGTTCGAGCACACCTCGCTCTACGAAGCGTACACAGGCTCGATCATTGCCGGCAAAGGCAAAAATCTAAATAACATTCGATCCATTCTCGAGCGCAACCGCTATAAGCAGGAAGATTGGGCCCGTGTACGATTCGGAGCAGGGACACCGTGGAGACGCTGCTGGTTTGTGATCTCGCCTCCGAACGAGAAAGAGTACCAAAAGGCGCAGAAGTCGTTGAAGAAATCTGCCTATGATCGGGCGCCGAGGCTGGCCACAGGAGACATCAAATTCTACGACACGAAGAAGACCAAAAAGGCGAAACCTATTGCGACCATCACAAACGCCTACGCTGCATATGCCATATACCCCCAGTCCAAGGCCTTAATCGATCAGTCGACTCTTGTGAAAATTGAAGGGACTGTTACAATTCATTCGAATCCAGAGTCGACTTCGGAGGGGTTCGTCTTCGTCATGCCCGAGGTCCATCCTGCCATCTCCGGCTTCGAAATGATGGTTCGCTTCCTCATCCCCACTTTCGACACTTTCAATCTCTATGGGCGGCCGACACGCCTCATAGCTGCCACGAATCATGTCAAGAGCATCATGTTCGCATTCCCTAGCCAACGGCGTTATGGGTACCTGGACGTCCTGGATGTAGCGAGTCTGATGCAAATGCCGGGTAGCCACACCTGGACTGAGGCGGAATGGAGAAAACAGCTGAAGGATGCGACAGCTCAGCGTATGGCCGCGGCAGGAAGCAGGACCAGCAGTGTTTCCTCAAGAAAACCACGATACAGAGCCAGTCTCCCCAATCGCTATAGTAATGTACCCGCAGGGGGCCCTCGCAACAATCACTCGTTACCCGAGAGCCGGCCTGAATACAACCAGTCAGCAGATGCCATCCTAAATGAATCGCCAAAAGAGGACATTGCATCCAGTTATCATTCTCGAGGCTATTCCGATACGACAGGAATTAAGTCCATGCAACAACGCGTGCAGGCTCGGGTCGTGGAGGGCTCACCATCATCTTCCGATCAAGATCTAGTGCCTGTGGAACGGCAACAGGCCGGCACTGCTAGTGTCAGTGACCGCAGCAGTGAAGAGGGCGACTGGAAGCAGCAAGTAGATCCTCCGGCCACCGCTGTTGGGGAGAATCTACGACCTCAATCTCCTCCTGACCCGGTAGCCATGCCGCCGGCATTTATGCATGCACCAGGAGAGACTCCATCAAACCGGCCATTACCTTCGCCGGATCTGAGGAAGGCCAATAACAGGATGTCCGACAGCACTCTCACACAGCTCGCCGCCGCTGGAAAGCTGAATCTATCCAACTTGGCCCTACCCTCAGCTGCCGAACATAGAATCCAGGAGTCTAGTGGCACCCACCAGTTCAACCGCCCATCGGCTCCGTCGAATGAGAGTTCCGCAGATCAAGCACAAAACTCGCCAGCACCAGTTAGTTCGAACAACGTCTTCGGCCCACCACTTGTCAAAACGACCGCAGGTGACCTTCACCAAAACGGTGCAAAGGCTGTGAGAAGAAAGCCTGTGCCTTCGCAGCAGCTGGGAGAGTTCGACGCTACCAGTCCCACCGGGGAGCCCAGTTTCGATGACCTGCGCCATACAGTAGACGAAGAAGCCATGAATCGCATCTCTTCCCGTCAGCTGTCATTCCGTTCGCCCGTCAAAGAACGCCAACCGGATGATGAGAGCGTCTACGATGACGCTTCCACAACTTCCCCTGACTATGCCAGTACGCACGAGTCGGTATATAGCAAAAAGTCCGTCAAGTCTGTTTCAAAGCCCAGAATGGGGGTCATGAAGACCGTGGGGACGGAGCCCAAGAAGGATCTTGTCATTGGGGACGCCCGTTATACGCTCGATGAGCCGTCGCGAATCGATCCGGACATTCCAACGGTAGATTTCGGGCCAACACTTACCTACCTGCCCACCACTGGACGTCCGAGCACATCGGACACTCTGAAGAAGTTTACGCATCATAGGACCGGTTCGGATGCCACGGAAAGACAGCGCTACGCGGTGCCGACACATCCCATGGACCACGGTCATGCCAGGTCTCCCAGTCAGGACGAACACCGGCGGAGTATTCTATGGCAGCCAGGCATGGCACGTCCAACGACCCCTGGTGGCGGTCTTTCCCCAGAACAATTTGTGCAGCAACGAGCTGCCCCTAGCCCGCCAATCCATCTACACCATCACCGGGCAACTTCTACGACTCCTCCACCTCGGAGACCGCTCTCGGGAGACTGGATGGCTCATACTCGCTCCAAGTCTCAGATGACTATTCCCAGAGAACCCCAACCTCGGCCCCATTCCCGTGGCGCCAGTAGCATGCTGAACTTCAACGACATCTCATCCCACCTCTCGGCTCGGGAGCAGGAGCACGTGGCTCGTATGACAGGATCTTCTTTCTTTGATATCTCTAACGACAAGAGCAAACAGACACCTCCCGTTGATCCAATGGGCCTTGTTGGTGCGATTGATGCTCGAGAGCGTGAGAAGAAGAGTATCAAAGAAGGAATGTCGAATCAGCTGGTGCAGCACGCAATTGCGCAACGGCAACAACACTGGCAGCAACTTGCCACAACACCACCTCAGAATTACGGGCTACAAAGTGGCGTTCATAGCAGTGTTTACAATCTCCCGGCGGCGAGTCACACTTGGGATGCGCTCAATCAAACTTATCGTGCTGATGAGCCTCGCCGTCAGTCTTGGTATGGGCCATTTGCGGCTCAGGCACCCCAAACACCGCCAATGTATCCACAAAGCCAGCCTCTGAACCAGCAAGCTGGCTACTTTGGGAGTGCAAACCATTTGCATTATTAGTTCTTCCGTTGCTGATACACTTGGACCCTTCTTCCTTCCCTAGACCCTTCTCTCTTATCCTCTTCTCCCAATCGCTCAGTTTCTTTTGTCGTCTTATACCAGCGTGTGCGCTCTTTTCAGACGTTATGCTTTTTCCTGCTTTTGCAAATGTGCCTCAAAAAGGGGTTGCATCTATGCCGACTTCTTGACGCTCCCTAGAACTAAACTGTCTAGATTCCTACGCAGGATTTCCCTTGCTGATTTTCCTCCCATTTACTTTGCTACAGCAATTGCTCCGTCGCATTACGCATTGAATGGAGTTGTGAGAGCAGGTCTGGCGTCTTCGGTACTGCTTCAGTTGCCTGTCATTCTTTCGTGTCGTTTTACGTCATTGCGGCGGTGGACTGGCTTTTGACTCATTGGGAAAGAATCATTCTATCGTGTGTCTTTGGCTTACTGTGGTGGTTTCGTGTACATAGGACGCATTACATACAACTTTGCAGGATACAGGCCTGGCTTTATCACCTTCAATCTTTTCATTACTCAGTTTTGTGAGTTTCACACCTTTATACTTGCTATTGAAAATGGTCCATGGCCAGTCTTCCCGAGTACGATTTGCTCACAGCACAAGGGGAAGCTCATAAAAGAGGTAAAGCGATATTTCTCTGATTCGCTATGTATGCTCTGTCAAACTCGACACTGCTCCCTGCGAGTATACAAAAGAACAATAATGCAATGCTGGAGAGTCCCGGAACGCCTTGGCTACCAGAAATCCCAATCACATCTTCAATAAAACACCCTTCGTATCAACCACAGTTCAAATCAGATTCTCAGGCATGTGGATGTGATACATCTTGTATTTTCGTTTTCAGTTTTTCTTTTCTGGGCGATGAATAACGACACTCAGCTCGAATGCAACTTCTTCACCCTCAGAGCACCCTCGTACAACCCACGGTCAATGGCCGCGGCAACGGTCAAAGTACCACCGATGATGGCACAGACGCCCGTCAGGAAACCCGAGAAGCTCTTGGGGCGGGCCTCGCGGTTGATGACCTTCATCGGCGAGATGTCGTAGTTGAAGAAGACGCCGGGGATGCCGTTCGCGGCGTGCAGACGTTCCTTGTGCCCTTCGTCCGAGGCGTCGCCGCCGCGCAGGGACCGCTTGTGCGAGGTCACCGAGTACTGGTGCGTTTCGATACTGCCGCCGGAACCGTACGCGATGCCGTGGGAGCCTAGGGGAGTCTGGTCGTGGGCGTTGTGGGCAGCGGACGAGAAGAGTGGGTCCCAGCCCAGAGGCAGGTAGGACGTCGAGACGACCTTCACGAAGTAGACGAAGTTGTAGGCCGGGTCGTTCGTCTCCTGGCTCGTACTGTCGAGCGGGTTGGTGTGGTGGTGGTCTGTCCACTGCCAGCGGTCGGAGACTTCGTCGGGGAGCTGGGGGCCGAAACGCAGCTGGTGGATGTGGTGGGTCATGGTGTGTTTTTCGTTGTCCGGGAGCTCGAGGTCGAGATAGTTTTGCAGGTCGTGCGCGTGGACCTGGCCGCTGGTGAAGCTGCGGCCGGGGGCGATGTGGAAGTTGCCGACGACCTTGTTGACGCGCAGGATGCCCTCAAGGCGGCAGCCTTCGCGGCGTTGGGCGTCGATGCGCGCCGCGTAGCCCTCCCGTTCGCACTGCTCGATGTTGGAGCCCTTGCCAAAGGCCCAGTTCTTGGCTGCGTAGGCTTCGCGCACTTCGTCGCAGGTGTTGCAGCAGCCTTCTTTCATGGAGCCGGGGAGAGGGTCCGCGCCGCCGCAGTCGCCGCAGTAGTTTGGGTCGAGGTGTTTGGCGATTTCCTCTTTAGAGTGGCTGGCGGACGCACACAATTGTTAGCAGTGGGCGACAACGGTAAAAGAAGTTGGCTGCTTACAGGTCCAGAGCTTGAACGTCCAGCACACGGCCTCCCTCGGCAGGAGAACTCAGGCGCACCTTGTTAACGCCATGTGCCACGCCAACTTGCTGTTCGCCCGAAACGTCCATCACATCAAGGGTCAAAAGCTCGCATGGTAGTCGGGGAAAGGTAATGTTCATGTGGATTTCCATTCGCTCGCCTGTTCAATGCCATCGTTCACATCAGTCCCTATACCCATGTTCTCTGTTCTTCGTAGGTCCATACCTCTCGACTTGTCAACAACCAGTTCTGGAAGAACAACTACCCGTCTATAATCCAGCCATTCTCCCCAAACCAGGTACAGGATGACAACCAACGAGGCCAAAGTGATGATACCTCCGGAGGTGGTACGGATGCGAGCATCCTCGACTGTTTTGGCGAAAGCATCAAGCCTCGTAAATCGCGACTTGGCAGGCATCTCTTCAAGGAGCGACGATCATAAGGTCGAAACAGTAGACGATGTTGAGCAGCAGCTCGACGAATTGATCAGCAATAATAGCGCGCCCGCACGGAGGGGAATCTATAGCGGAGGTATTCAATGTCAATGAAGCTCAATTGGCAAATAGTTCGGGAATCGCGGCATGTCAATAAAACGACACACGAGGCATCGACACAACTTACAGGTCAGTGAGGTAACTCGGCGAAACAATCATCAGCAATAACAAAATTGAGCGTCGGGATGGTTCTCCTCATCAAGTCCGGTCTTTGGAACAAGCTGTCCTGATGAATCCCAAAACGAACTAAAGCATCGGCTTTACTCTAGGTAGTCGACGCTAAGAGGTGATAGGGACTTAGAGTACAGCGCGTATCAGGTACCGCTGATAAGCTGCGCAATCTGGCTGCTTCGGTATTGGTATTTCCAAAAGGACAGAGAGCAGTTGCTCATTGGTGCATGGGGCCCACTGAATCTCCCACTCACATATTGGAATTTGACGCACAAATACCTCTCGTACATCGTCCCTTTGATGGTAGGTTGCACTATAAGCTGCTAGATAGAATCAATATTCAGTTTTTGATTGTCACATTGCCATGGTAAAAGATTATCAGGGCAAAAGTAATGCAAAAAATTGCCTCCGGGGAGGATCGAACTCCCGACCTTGAGATGTCCCAGAAGTACTCTTCTGAGTCATATGTGAGATATGAGACTCACGTGATAACCAACTACACCACAGAGGCAATTGTTGGATAACAGCGCTGGAAATTAAGTTGATAAGGAAGTCCAACAGCCTTGAACCGAACCCGGTCGGAGCTTATATGGGTCTAGCTCCCCTCAGGCATCAACGACACCCAGAACAAGAAGTCCGCCCACGTGACTAGACTGGAGCCTGCCGAAATGCTTTCTGATTCACGTCACTTTTTGTTCTTTACTTTTGTCCGACAGCCTCAAACCTCTACTAGAGGTTCACATCGCCTCGCCATCTCCTCAAAAACATACGAATTGATCAGCTCGTCTCCTTTGAAACCACATACTTTGAAATTCTCACCTTTTTCTCCTCACTCACCTATTTCCGTTGTTACATGTCGAATCCTTAAGTGGAACTCGGTTTCTTCGAGGCGCACCGCGCATTTTCGCCTCTTACCCACCCTAAAGTCCTTCCAACGTCCACTTCCAGCCTATTCCTCTCTCCGCTAGCTCGGACTTTCCTTGACACTAAAACAACATGAAAGGAAAAGGCTCTCGAGCTCGCTCCGGCGCCTCAGATCGCGGAGGTATTCGCAAGCGGGGTTCGACACGAATCGACCGAGATGGCGACCTTTCTATGGATGGGGGCGCCGCTCGCGGGCGTGGGAAGAGAACGCGCGGCGACACAGGCCGTGCGACTCCGGCTGGTGGACGGCCTCAAGCTCGGGACAGGACTTTGAATGCGATTCAGAAAGCGATCGCCAGTAATGCGGACTCGCAAGCGAATATTCGGCAGGGAACTCGAGGAGCGGGCTTGGAACAGGTCAGCGTTCGTGGCTGGAAACAGAGCAAGGCGGCTTCCAACCGTGATGGAGGCCTGGAGAGTCTCATCGCTTTCCTCGAGAAAAAACTCACTGCACCCGATTCGAAAGCTGGCGCCCGCGCGAGAATAACAAAGGTATGTGCAACACCAGAATTGGCGGTCACCGACAGCAAAAACGCGCAGCGGTCGTACTCTCCGGTCTGTCCTCGTCTTCTCCAGGCATGGTATTTCAGAACGACGATCGGCAACGTCTAGGGTCCTTTTTTTCTTGAGCGTTTGTTTGTCTGGGTGACTGCGGTTTCAAGGTCTCTTAAGCCTTGCTAACTTTCACTAGTCGCGAGTTGAAGGCGACTCTGTAATAGTGTCTATCCGGCCCGAATTGTTGGATAGAATGCTTCAGATGAATGGTTTTAGTTTTGCGGGTGCGCCTCTTACGATCGAAGCGTACGGGCCGTCCGCGAATGGAATGACGGATCAACCGATGCTTTCGGATATCGCGCAGAATGGCGGTGCTCCCTCGACCGCCGATACCAAGAGCAAGATGACTGCGATTTTGAGCAAGCGATATTATCAACAGACAAAGTTGCTTGATCTTTCCAAGTTGGGCAGTGACCCCGATCTTTTGGCCATGGGCATCTTCAATAGCACATCCACCGAGTCCAAGTTCTTCCCTGCGCTGATGAAAGTTTGGGAGATGAACTTCGACAGTTCTACGACGAGGCGTGAGGCCGTTGAGAGTGTCAGTCTTGCAGACAACCAACTCGCAAACATCGCAGTCGTTACAAGTCTAGCCCAAACGATCCCCGACCTGAGAAACTTGGACCTCTCGAATAATAACTTCAAAGACGCGCAGTCCTTGATCGGTTGGCGATGGAAATTCCGCAACCTTGAATTCCTCGACCTCACTGGTACTCCTTTTAGCGCCGATCCTACCTTCAAGGAGACAATGATGAAGTGGTACCCGAAGTTACGAGTACTGAACAATGTTGAAGTTCGGACCGCGGAGGAGATCGCTGCCCAGAAGAAAACACCGATTCCTGTTCAGCCACCTCACTTCTTTGATGAATCGCAAATCGCGGAGAACTTTGTCCGGGCATTCTTTGTTGGTTATGACAATGACCGCAACGACCTTCTCAACGGTGTTTACGACAATCACTCGACTTTCTCCTTGAACGTTAACACATCCGCGCCGAGGGCTCAACAGACCGAGACCGCTGGCTGGGATCCTTACATCAAAAAGAGCAGAAACTTACTCAAGATCAACCACCTTCCAGCTAGAATGTCTCGCGCCTATGTCGGTGTGGAGAAGATTCGTGAAGTCTGGAATAGTCTTCCTAAAACCAAACACCCGGACGTGGCAGCTCATCCGAACGAATGGCTCATCGAATGCTTCCCGGTGCCAGGTCTTCCAGATCCGTCCGGGCAGAGCAGCACTGGAGTGGGTGGTCTTCTGATCATGGTTCATGGGAAATTTGAGGAGCTTATTGATGGAAAAGTTGAGGTGCGCAGTTTTGATAGGACATTTATCCTTGGTCCTGGTGGAGGAGTTGGCGGTATCAGAGTGATCAGTGACGTTCTTTGTCTGAGAGCATATGGAGGACATGAGGCATGGATTCCAGAAACGCCAACGGTTCCTCCGTCGGTTCAGCCAGCAATTCAGCCAGCAGCTCCCCAGGCAGTCCCGGAAGGCTATGGTATGCCGTTGCCCGGAAAGCCCGAGACGCAGGTCCAGCAAGAGCAGCTGGTAATGCAAATGAGCACGAAGACAAACATGACTTTACAGTATTCCGAAATGGCACTATCAGGAAATGGCTGGAACATGGATGCTGCTCTGAAGAACTTTGAAGAACTCAAGGTAGGGTTACCCGGACTCGTCCGTCTCGATGATACATTATAACTAACTGCGTTGGTATCTACAGGCACAAGGAACATTACCTCCAGAAGCTTTTCTTCCTGGAACGGTCTAACACCTAAGATGATCACCATCTCAATGTTCTTGATCGGCCTCTCATTATCACTCAACGCACAACAGAAGGAAACAGGTGTGGTAACTCGGAGTACAAGATTCTATTCATATCATATGGGTGGTTAGCTTCTCTGCATGGCTTTGGCGAATGGTTTGGCTTCATAATAGCCATTTGGGTTTATCTCGCTTTATTGATTTTTTGAAAAGAGCGTTCTCCATCTGGATGCTACGATATCATGTCCGCATAGAAGAGAAAATATACATCAGCCGCCTTCTGCTGCGGTATTGACACTACAGCAACAATTTTCTTGAGAGGTAGATGGATATCATAAGTATGATGATGGCATTTGATACGGGCTTTGAGCTTCCAAAAGCACGGTCATTATCGTGATTGGGTATTTCTGGCTCAAGACCTGGTTGTAAATAGTAAATGTTTAAGATCAAAAATATTTATGCCTGAACGCCAAGGCATACGCTAAGCTGCTCCGCGCCGATATTGATTTATCGACAGCTATCCGCAGTCAATGCACAAAGAGCCCACCAGAGATCTCGCCCTCCTGGTTTGCCTTTGATCTCTTGTCTTCTCACTTGGGCCAATTGGCAGATGGTCACTTGTCGCAACTGCAGCATGTGCCCTGCGTTTACTACCCCTAAGAGCTAATGGAATGTCCGTCTCGACTCCCACCTCCTCTACCGGCCATATGCCACCCAACGGCGCGGCGGACCTCGATCCATTGGATGCAGGTGAGCACACCAACCTGATTTAATCCCGGTCGAACGATCTTGCTAATAACCCGGCATGAAATAGCTGATTACGATCCGATCGACCACTTGAACGCGATTTTCTCCCACCCCTCCACCCTCTCCTCCGTGTCCGAGGTGTCTCAATCCCTCCGTGAATATGAAGACGAGCTCGACCATGACATTGCCACGCTGGTGGAGGAGCAGGTCACCTCCAATGCCGAGAGCGTGGAGCGCATCCAGGCAGCCAAGGCCGATTTAACGGAACTATTCAGGAAGATCGACGATGTGCGCGACCGCGCATCCAAGACGGAACAAGCGATTACGGAAATGACGGCGGACATCAAGCAGCTGGACAATGCAAAAAAGAATCTGACGCAGTCCATGACCGCACTCAAGAGACTGCAGATGCTGACGACGGCGTATGACCAGCTCCGTGCCCTGAGTAAGACGAGGCAGTACCGCGACTGCGCGCAGCTGCTCCAGGCGGTGATTCAGCTGATGGCGCACTTCAAGTCATACCGATCGATTGATCAGATTGCGCTCCTGAGTAGAAATGTGGCGGATATTCAGCGGGAATTGCTGGAACAGGTCTGTGAGGACTTTGAGTTGGCGTTTGCTAAGGGGGAAGTTGCTCAGAATCGGATCACGCTTTCGGAGGGCTGTCAGGTCATGGATGCCTTGGGCGAGAGTGCGAGGTCCAGGCTGGTGACCTGGTATTGCAATTTCCAGTTGCGGGAGTATCGGCAGGTCTTCCGGAACAAC